ATATATATATATATTAAAAAAGAAAGAAAAGGGGGCCAATTTCCAGCTCCTAGTTAACAGCTTCACTCACTGAGTGCAGGCTGTGCTGCGGGCCCCACACTGTGGTGATGGGGGTCTTTACCCCTTGAAGAGAACTGGGTTGCCTGGTGTCAGCATGGACCATGCTCCAAACACTGGGCACCGCTGCTGAATTCCTGCTACTGATGCTGCTGCTGCTGGTGGTAGTGGAGGAAGGCTGGAGCGGAGCAGTGAGGGGGGAAGCCAGGCCCAGAAGAGGCGTCATCGCTGGCGTAGAGGAGGATATTTGTGCTGAGGCGGACAGAGGAGTTGGAGTTTGCGTAGAAGCAAAGACTGGGTTGTGAATGGAGGCCGGAGACGACTCTGCGGTCGAAGCGGGTGACGGACGCGGAACACTGATTGGGATTATTGGGGACATGTGGAACGGCAGGCAAAGCGGGACTCCTCTGGGGTCTGTGAAAGAAGTAACGGCTGGAGGTGGAGCAGCTGGAACAAGCGCTACAGTCTGGGAAGAAGCCTGGCTAGGAGACGTCACAGAGGAGGGACTTGTGGCCGGGACTAGGACTGCTGATGGCAAAGAGACGGGCAGTGGAGCTGGAACTGAGCTTGAGGCTGAAGCAGCGGCTGGTTTCTGGGAATTCGGCTGTTCTAAAACTGAGGCAGACACTGGCACTACAGTAGGCAGATGGGCTGTGATGAGCCGAGGCTGGTTTGGGCTGGAGGCAGTGTCCTTGTCAAAGGGGCTCCAGATTACTTTATCCATCAAGAGAGGAGATAGCCTCGAGGCGGAGACCAAGACTGGAGCTGCGACTGGCACAGAGGCTGTTAAAGACAGAGGCACTGGATCCTTTCCTGAAGTCACAGTTGACACTGGAACAGCCATAGCCTTCTCCATCAGACTCTGCACCCTGGAAGGATCCATGACTTGTTGGCTGTCCTCTGGTGGCGGTGTGGGCCCCGTGTCACTGCCGTAAGCGCTACACTTTGCCTCCACTAGTTCAGTTTTTACAGCCTCTGCGGGTCCGTTCTGGCTCTCCTGGAGCCTCTTCAGGTTCTCCTGCTCCGCCGCTCTTTGCAGAGCCGCGTCGACCAGGAGCCTCAAGTCGCTGAAGTCCTGGGTGGGGAACAGCTCGGGAGGAGTCGGGGGCGGCGTGTTGAAGAGGCCACTGCTGGGGCTAGCTGCCATTGTTGTGCTGTTGAGACAAACCATATTGGCCCCCTGTTCCTCCGCTTCCCTCAGCAGACTTTGGGTGTCCAGCTTCATCAGCGCCTGGACGGACCCTTCCTTGCCCGGGTAGCCCGCTCCGGTCAGAATGGCCGTCGCCGTGTTCCCGAGAAGACTGAGGTCCAGCGTAGGGGCGGAGCGGATGACGGACGGCCGCTGTTGAGACGAGCCGGTGGAGGAGTTGCTTTCCGGAGAGCTGGCTCTTCCTCCGTTAGCCGAGTGGACTTCACTTTTAACACCGACCTTGCGGGAGATGGTGAACTTTGTGGGATCTTTGCCGTCCTTGCGCAGCAGGTCGGGGAGGAGGCGGCGACGTGCGTTGATGAACCAGTTACATATCTGGGAAAAGAGGAAGAAATTCTGCATTAACATAACTGACACTGGCTGCTTACATGGATGTTTTACTTGAATAAAAAGAAAAGCTTTTCAGCCACAAAGATGTACTTTTACAGTTTTCTTTGGGGGCCTCCACGGTCTAAAAATGATCTGAGGCCTGTGATTTTAATAACCACCTACACGTTTTCTTTACACGGGCCTTACTTACCCCCTCTAGTGGTATGGCCTCCCACACAAGGAAGGAAGAAAGAGGGAGACAGATGGAAGATGAGAGCCCTCAGACAGCTGGCAATAATGAAGGTCTGAGCTCAAATATGCTGAGCCACAGAGAAGCCAGCCAAAGGCATTCCAGGGAACGGACTACACAACAAGAAACTCTGCTGCTGCTGCCTCATGCTAATCTGTAATACAGTCTTTAATGCTGCCCGCCTGTTCGTGCATGCCTGCGAGTGTTGAGAGGGAAAGAGGAAATGTCTTCTTCTGATGTAATGAAGTGAAAAGAGAGGGCTGGGAAAAGCTCATTCTCAGCAGCCAGATTGTTGTTTTGCTTTCAAGTGTTCACCGTGTTGGTCAAATTTAGTATCACAGAAACGGAAGCATGTAAAAAGGTGTTACGACTATAGTTTCAACCCATTTCTTGCGTGTGGCATCAAACTTTATAGTGATAAAACATTACTAAATTTAGTCCGATGTGCAGATCATGATCTGCCTTTTGTGCTACAAGACGAGTAATAATTTAATGATTTACCACCTGCTTATGTGCCTTACAAATAGTAAAAATAATATTCACACGCACACATACATACAACGCATTTAAATCCAGTGGAACCTGTAAAAATCAGCTCTACTTCAGAGGGGAATACATCCAGCAGAAAGCAGAAACAGTGAAGACCACAAGTGTCATTTCCTCTGGTAAGTGCAGAGTGCTTGTGGGTAAAAACAAGATGAAACAAATCCTCACCTGCAGCACAGAGAGGTTGGTCTGGCCGGACAGACTGAGCTTCTCCTGCTCCGACGGGTAGGCGTTGAAGCGGTGCTCGTACAGCCAGCTCCGCAGAATCTGCACCGCCTCCTTCGGCAGGTTGCCGCGGCGACGGCGTTTCCCAAATAGACCCCGTCCCGACAGGTCGAGCGGGGAGCCGTCGTCGCTGTCCGACACGGCCGAGGAGTGCTCCTGCTCCGGGCGAAGCTCTTCTTCCAGAGCTGAGGGAAAAAGGGGAAATAATTTGTGATAAAAGAGTTAGAGAGTCCTCAGTGCTGCTCATCATGGGTCCTCATTGTAAATGAGGTGTCAGATAGCTTGTAACATGTTGTACGAGTGGCTGTTTTGCAAACTCAAGGGAGTGTTTTTCACTGATTTGTAAACAAGTGCACAATCCTCATCGGTTGCTTTTAGCCTCTCGATTTAACCCAATTTAAAAAGTAAGGTTTGTGGTCTGAATAAGTTCAAACAATGGCTTCGGGGTCTGGACTTTGTTGTGGGGTTTTTTTGGTCGGCCTCCGGTTGGCCACTGGAGAGAATCTCCCCTCAAAATGGAGCATGCCTGATCCCAGGGGTGGGCCACAAAATGCAGTGAATGTCTTTCTGTGGGGCTGGGGTGAAACCTGACCCCCGGGGCAGCGCCTGTCTTCACAAAGAAGATTGTGTGCATATCAACATCACAGTGGCCAGTGGCCCAGGAGCCTATTGACCATGCAAAGCAGGCCGTTTTCACCTCATGCCACTTCGGCTCAGTACTGCAGGAGTAGTTGACTAAATCTTTTGAATTCGGCATTCCTCAACAACGACGGTGCTACAACCAAGTTATTGGGGGTCAAATTTAAAAAACAACAACATACAAATACAAACTCGGTGTATTTCCCCCCCCAATTTCTGTAAATGAGCTTCCCCCTAGCACCTAAAAATAACAGCTAGAGCTGTTGATTTAAATGTTTTAGTTGAGCTCAAGATTAAACTACTGATTTATCATTTGGGATGACATTTTGTAGTTTAAATTTATGATCATTTACACACAAAAAACACGTGCTGAAACATTTGTTTATCAAGTGTCTGGTATGATGCATTGATCATTGCACTAAACATGCGAGTTTTGCATACACATGGAAAAAAATACATACAGATCTTTCTTAAAACCTCTGGAAAGAATAGAGTAAACTTTGAATAATGTCCGAGTAAAATTAAGTGTAATTTGGTATGAAAGTACTGTAGTCTGTAAAACGAGTCTCCCATTCATGCTTGACAGACATCTCACGTTAACCTACTTATAATAACATTGAGAGAAACTATGTGGCCCACAACAAAGTAGCATTCCCTCCACTCCACTATATCACTGCATAGACATATACAGATGCATCTTATGTGCACTCATTCAATGTGAGACTCGGTTCAGAAAACAAACGATTTTAAAGTGACGTTAGCTTATAGTACATTGCGTCACATCAGCAACAGCCACATGTAACATCTCACAGGCAGTCAAACCCAACTTTTTGTTTACCAACCGTCTCCTCTAACGTTACGTACACAGTTGGTCATGCGGAAAGTGCTGCTAGCATTCTGTATGTTAATATAAAAACGAGGCCACAGCTCTCAACAGTGAACCAAACTTCACAACACACTCCCGAGGTGAGGATTTGAATCTGACCGTTAGTAACGTTACACACCAAACATCAACTTTTGGAGACCCGCTCGCTTTGTCTCGTTGCGTGTTAACGCCACGCTCAAGAGTGAAACTAAATATACGCCAAAAAAAACAGCCTTTGGAATATAATGATAAATGTTACATTCATAAAAGATATAAAGCGAGCTACTCGGTAAATTAGCCATCTGGAGCGCACAAAGGAGGCAGACAGGAAAGCGCAGCCTCCCGCATGTCACGCCGCCAGATGGACACCATGCCCGCCTCCAGAGATAACTAGCTGGCTAGCTGTCCCTCCAAACGGGAGCACACAACACACACGCTGCATTTGCTCGCAACAAAAAAAAAAAAAAAACCCCGCATACCAGGCAAAACCAACAGCGGGGAGACCGTGTGCTCGCAGACGGGACACTTCGTGGGTTATAAACGCGCATGGCAGTGATTGAACAAACAAAAAAACACCACGATGCGAGAGCCTGCTCACCTCGTTTGAATGCTTTCATTCTTTGTTGATGGCTTGCTTGAAAACACGCAGCTGTCCAAGTTGCTCGCTGTACAAAGCGTGCCCCGGGAGCCCGAGCGATGGTTGACACAACGGCACTTTCTTCCAAGAAAGCCGAAGGTGTTGCGCCTTTTTTCACCGACTTAAACGCCTCGCTTTTGGGGTTCCGTCGCACGAAAATGTTTCTCCGTCTCCATCGCAGCCCTCGCTTTCTGCCAAGACAAATGTTTTCTGTTTTGTGTCGCTTGTTCCTTTTTACCTGCACGCAGCAGCGCCAGCTTTTTTTTCTTTTCTTTTTTTTTTTTTTTACCAATCTTGACAGTCGCAGCTGAAATGATCCCGCCTCATCGACAGCTGTCAGCCAATCACAGATCTTCATTGCGCCTCCTGGGCGGCCGTTAGCCAATCACCGCGCTCCGCCAGACAGCAGACGGGCTCCGTGTTATTGTGACTGACGGGGAGAACCATTTCATTCAAAGTACAGCGCAGTCAATTGAAACAATGTTATTTTCTCGACGCGGTTGAAATCCTACGGTTACGTTGACACGAGCCTGAATATGAAGAGAACCGTAGAGCTCGTGTGTAAGCACCGTGTTCGTTTCTATCTCTGTGTGCGGGAGACGGCTACTTTGGCTTTACGTAACGTTGAGCAAAATGTTCTGGTTACATAAATCAGAAACGTCGAAAGCGTCGATCGGTGACCGCATTGGACCAGCTCATAACACAATTAACCAAGTTATTTGGACTCGCACTGCCCGGAGTCATTTCAGATCTGATAGTTGGACATCAATTGTACAGTTGTAATATGTGTTGTGGTGATTTGATTCGCCAAAGTCTCTGGGAGATTCCCCAGGCCAAAGGAGCGGGAGTGAGCTCAGATTAAAAGAAATGATACAAAACTTCAATCTACCTGTTGTAATCGACCTGTGTTGTGATAAAATATACTTTCTATCACTTGAGTCTAAAAAAAGGAAATAGCTAAAAAAAAGTACATATTGACACAGATCTAAAGCTATAATTGAAATGTAGCAGGGTTAAAAACAACAGGCAATATAAAGTACTGTATCTCTAAAAATAGTCAAAAGAAAAATGACAGCCACAAATGTAAACATCTGGTCCATTCAAAACAGTAAGCACATACAACCATGATGAACTTTTTGAGAAAAGTATCGTGTGCATTTTATTGAATGTTACGTCTCTCCATTATACATTTGAACAACCTTGAAATAGTATAAATAGATCTACAGCATTGTAAAAGATGACAATTTTCAGTCTGGTCTATTTACAGAAGACAACTTTAAGAAGCACAGGGGGAGAGATGCAAGATTATTAATTTCATTTTAATATCAAAGAACCCTTTTACTCAGTATTGCACTTATACCTTAAATTTTTACCAGAGTATAGTGACAAGAAATCTCATTTTATGAACAACACACCTTCTCACTCACAACTTTGTCTCAAACTATACAACCCTTTTATACTAAACCCCACAAACCCTGCCATACAGCCTACAGAGTATAATGCAGAACACATCCTATTCTTTAAAATAAGTGCTTGCTTCATAAAATACATCTTCTAGTATTTTTTACAGACACTTTTTGCTATATCATCCCTTGTGGTAGGAGCGATGCCCCTCACCCCTTCCCCAGTTTTATGCCCCACTCGGTGGAACAAAGCACAGATGCTAATGAGCTTGTTTTTTTTGCAAGCAGGCCTTTGGACCACTGTATGGGAGTGGATTCACTGGTGCTATCCCAGTTGAGGTATGCTCTCACTGGGATTAAACTGTCTCTCTTCACCTGTACTGATGAAACTATTTTCTCAGTCCTGGAATGCAGAAACAAAACAAAGTCAAAGGGTAGCTAAACTTTATATAAGGTGTGATGTCAGACATATTTTTGGAGGAAAAAAGTGAAAACATACATTGGTATCACAGAAGACAGGGTACAATTTGGAGCATAGCTACATCATAAACAATTTAGCTAAACTTTTTCTCTTTTTCTGCTTGCATTTATGAATGATAACTTCACTATTGCGATTGAAGGAGTGCAGCTGATTAGAAGCAGTGAAAATCCAGCTGACTGGTCAAAATGAAGCTTTACCAAAACAGGTTTTGACTTTAAAAGGCCCAACCCATCAAACCAATATGGGGGACCGTTATCACCCTCAAATCAATGTCTTTACAGCAGCAACGCCACACCGCAGCTGTTTGGATCGTGGATAACCCCACCGAGGTGTGTCCCAGTGATGTGTGTGTATTGGAGGGAAGCCTCGTTTAAATGCATGAGCTCTCTTGTCTCTCTTTAAGTATGTCACTTGGCATTTTTAGACGTCCAACGTCTGGAACAGCGTCGCTTTTCAGTTTGTGCCGGTTAGCTCGTAGCACAACTTTCTCTGCGTTCCAGCCCTCCCTCCCTCAGCGTATACTTGGGATGCCACAATTAAGCTTGATCTGTCAGGCAGACCTGCGGTTTTGTGTGATGAAGGGTGACAGACAGCAGGGTTTTGGGCCCCAAAATGTGGCAAATGGGAAGAAAAAAGGAAATGATATGTTATGAAACGGTTTTAAATGTTAAAAATATTCTGGCAGTGGTTTGCATATGAGAAAGAGATTTTAAATGTAGTTGTTGCAATATATTGCCCTCAAGCTATGCTATACAATGCTCATTAATTCCTAAGACTGACTATTAAATACCCATTACATTAAGATCATCAAAATGTGTCAATCATTTGTTTATGTAGAACTGTGTAGCGAAACCACAGCTTATTTCAGAAAAACAACTTGTCAGACAACTTTTTCCTGGCGGTCTCAAATCAAATCAAGCCACCGACTGAGTTCCAGTCACATAAAAGGCCTATAGGTGCCAACGATGCTCTCCACCCCACTAAAAGAGAGAGAGAGAGAGGGGGTGGAGGGGGCATTGACAGCACCCAGGGAACAGACTATTGACACCCCTGAGCCATTTTCCTTGCTGGGAGTCATCCCCAGCCGGCAAACACAACAAGGCAAACAAAAGGCCTGCCATCAAGAGAAAGCTCTTGCCGAGATAGAGTGATAACAGTTGTCATCTGACTTTTCCAATTCAAAGCCCCTGGCTGAATTTTTGTGTCAGAGTAGGTGAGAATGAGGCATAGCAGCAGCCGAAGCAGTGCCATTCTCATAGTTTAACATAACTAATTGGGGAGGGGAAGTGATGTTTGCTTAGCATTTGGAAGAAACCAAATGTGAGTGGCGGTCAGACAAACAACTGTGGGTTTCGACTTTGTGGTCGGATGTTTTACTTCTTAGTGAAATCCAGAAGTTTGTCTATGTGAATGACTCAAAAACCAAGAGGCCTCTTTGTTTTGGGAAACGGCTTCAAATGAGACAGGAGTCTGTAAATATGTGTAATGCACACAATGTGTCCCCGTCCAGCAGAACAGTGCAGGGTTCAATGTCGCCCTATGACGTGAATGCATACAGCACAGTATAAAACAATGTACTGTGTATTTGATTAACCACTGTTGTCCTCTAGAGGGCAGACATGAGATATTTCAAGATGTCAGTTTCCTGTAAAAACTGAAATAAATGCATTGCTGTGGCTGCACTCCACTCTGTTTCAACAGTAAGCACCGTTACTGTTGAGCTCCCTGCTGCTGACATTTAAATACAGTCAGTTGAATTTCAAACGGTGAATTCATCTTTGGCTTATGCATTCTTCCATTAATTAAAAAAAGCAAGTCGCATTTAATAAATGATGAAAACACAAGACTAATGGATGTAATGCTTTAATTAAATATTTGTTTCTTTGGAAAAAAAAAAAAAAAAAAAAAAAAGGTACTTTGGATGATGTTCAATGCGGGGAAACAATAATGGCAACAAATTGAAGAAGATTGAATTTGTTGAGTGATGGGAGGCAAAAATAAATCAAAATGCTTTTGGAATCGTAGTATAAAAACAACAGCGAGACACATGTCCGATTGTGTGTCCCCACAAACAATAACACATTACCCTGCTGCATTATTTCAATAAAAGCCCTAAATTCATTTGAGATTGTTTGAGTTGAATGCTAAGTGAGGTTATTAAAAACAACTTGAAGAAGCATTAAAACAGATTGAACACAAATCCTGACTGAAATATTCCTGAATCTGCAGTTAGAGCACAAACATGAAAACCAAAGTTAACGGGACAGAGAGATTGAAAAAAAAAAAAAAAAAAGAAGACGTTGTCCCTCCAAAGAAAATCATTTCTAATAATATTGTGGCCACTGACATTCTGACTGAACTGGAGATCGTCATGCTCGATCACCGTTAATATCGGGATGTGCTTTCATTAAAAAAAACATTAAGAAACTAAACTTTACAGATTCTCACCGGTGTTTGAATCTTTGACACAAGAACATTTGGATGGAAACACACAAGAGTTCATTGTTAGGAACTCTATAAACACCCCTTCAAATCGGACATCCAACTTCATCATACCAAAAATATTCCTAATAACCAGATCCAAATGGATTTATACAAAACAAAAGGATGAGTAAAGTAAACAAATAAATACAAGGAAGACTTACATAGTGTGAGTTTGTCATGTGTGTGTGAGTGCAGTGGATGCAGTGTGCGTGATGGCCACAGGGTGGTGTTGTGTAAAGCTACAAGATGGCCAATGATCTGGAAAGAGAGGACGAGGATGGGAGACAGAAGAGCAGTAATGGTTGCCTTCTGTCCACTTAATAGATCTTATAGCCAAGATAGAGCAACGTTTAAAACAGTCTTCATATAGATTCTTTAAGATATAATTGTCATAATAACGAAAGCTTCATTAACAATTTTATGATATCAATAGTTACAAGAAATGACAAAAGTTCGTCAGCTGAGGTTTTCAATGGCAGCCTCAAATGAGGAGTCTCCTGCTTAATCGTCTGTCGAGTCCTCAAAAGTAACATTTTTAATTTCTTTTTTTAGATGAGTATTTGATGCCACCAGGACCAGCCCAATACTATATGTGAAAGAGTGTGTGAAAAATGCCCTATTCACCCCCCCAACCCCAATCTGATCTCTCCTCCCCCCCATCCCCCCAACTTCCAGCCATCTTTACTCAGAGTAGCTCATTTGCATTGCAAAAGATTTCCACTCCTTTCTCCAGGTATTTCAGCGACACTTATCTGTCCTTTGATCCGACCCTAGTTCCTTCCTTCTCACTGTCTCAGAGGCGGGTCTGGGCCTCGGGGACATAGATTTCGATGCTGTCCGCGCTCTCTGTGGCGGAGTTCTGGCGAAACGAGGCGGCCTTCTTAGCAGCCAGGAGACGCTTGCGAGCCTCGTGTCTCTGCTTCTCTGCTGAGGCCGAAGAGGAGCTGGACGAGGAGTCGGCGCTCTTCTCGCGGCCCAGCGATGGCCGTCCCTTACCGGGCTTCTTTGACGCCGGAGCGGCCTCCTTCTCCTCGTCCTGTAGTGTGCAGCGGTGAAACATGACAGACAGGAAGGAGGAGAAAGGACAGATACAGGACAGTGAGAGAATGTACGATGCAAACTGTCTTCAGGAGGTTTTGGTCATCTAGACAGGTTTGGCAGACAGGACTTTGACAAAGACATTTTCACAATGCCGATTGTATTCGTTAAAGCTTGAAACAACATTTCGTGGCTTTAGGTGTTAAACAGACAAACACTGACAGGTAGACAACTGGTAAAAGCAGGCAAACATTTATACGACAATTTTTGTAGACAAGAAATGGTAACATGAATTGATGGCCACATTGGAGCCAACTTAAAGGACAATAAAGTGATCACAAGACAGTCTGCAAAGCAACAAAGCAAGAGCACCTCAGCCACAGAACCATAAACTTGAAACACACACACGCACAAATATATAAACACAAACGAGAGAGAGAGAGAGAGAGAGAGAGAGAGAGAGAGAGAGAGAGAGAG